CCTGGCCTTTGGCCTGACTTTCCTGTTGTCTTTAGTTCTTGGTCAAACAGCTCTCTTCACAGTAAACCCCTGTGACTTGGGGGTGCCTGAGTGTGTCTCTGTCCGTTGAACCCCAGTGCTGTGCACACCAGAAGGGCCAACTGGTTGGTCCACTGATATATCACACTAAGGGTTGTTAGGAGTTGTTGTAGCACGAGAATAATCTCCTGGGCAGCTGTGCTGCCTTGGATGCAAGGTGGCTGGGGTGGCCTCTGCCAGCTCCCCCTGCTCCAGCCCTGGGTCATGTTGTCTGAAGCAGCTGAGCTGCCTCTGTCGTCTGGGCAGGGAGCAGTGGCTCCTAGGAGTGACACTGCTGGCTGGAACCCTGGGCTGGAGCCTGCCTGTCCCCTGAGAAGCAAGTCACCAAACTTTGCTCTCAGCGCTCCTGCAGGACATGCTTGTCTGAGGGGCCTCCCTAGCAGCCCTTTCCAGGGCCCAGTTCTCCTTTTTCAGACCTCAGTTTCCTCATCTGTAAATCGAGGAGTTTCAACTAGCTCGATAAGTTAAAGTATTTTAGCAGCAGAACTATTTTTTTTAGACATGTACGCCGAACTCCATTATTCAAAACATAAAATATTGGGCCGGCCCAGTGGCGCAAGCAGTTAAATGTGCGCGCTCCACTGCGGCAGCCCGGGGTTCGCCGGTTTGGATCCCGGGCGCACACCGACGCACCGCTTGGCAAGCCATGCTGTGGCGGCGTCCCATATAAAGTGGAGGAAGATGGGCACGGATGTTAGCCCAGGGCCGGTCTTCCTCAGCAAAAAAAGAGGAGGATTGGCGGATGTAAGCCCAGGGCTGATCTCCTCACAAAGAAAAAAAAAACCATAAAATATTGGTTTTTATTTTATTATTATATTATTACAAATTTATAAGATGTACTTATTAAAAAGGCAATCGGTAAGTCCTCTGAGGCTGTTAGGTTGAATAGGATGCTGATTTACACCAACCTCTGCTTCCAATTCTTTTACCTTTTTTGGTTGCACAATATAGAGAAAATCAGGAAAATCCTGATCACTGATTTCAAGTAGTTGAAAGAGTTAATAGTTGTTTTGTTTTGTTTTAAGCTAACCTTGCAATCTCAGGATTCTGGAAGAGGAATAGTAGAGTTTGTTTTTGTTGTTTCAATGATGAACCATTAACAATATATAAGATGAACCATATGTAATTGCCAATATCCCATGGTTTGGGCCTACGAAAACAGCAAATTCATATAATTCAGTTGAATAACAATAGCTAACGTTTATTTTACTGTGTGCCAGGCCCCATGCTAAACACTTTGGAAGCATGACATCATTTCATCTACACACAAATCTCAGTGGTACAGATAAGCACCCTGAGGCACAGGGAGTTGTCCAAGGTGGCCCAGGTGACCAGAGCCAGTGGGTGGAGCAGTCCAGACCCAGCCTTGCTCAGGCCGCCCAGGGCTGCTGGGTCCCCTACCGGCCAGTCCACCTCCGCCCGCCACTGCTGGCCACCCCCACCCACTGGGCCAGAAGAATCCAGCCTCTGTGCCCAGAGGCGCCCGCAGCCCAGGAGCTGTTTGTTTTCTTAACGGGGTTAACCAAACCTCCCGAGCAGCGCTGGCGTCCCAGCAGAAGCCTGCCAGTGAACGGGGCTTTGTGTGACGGCGTTGGAGGGCGAGGGCCTGAGCCTGGGCGAGAGCCTCGGTCCAGCCCACCTGTGCGCCCGACCGCAACCGGGCCACCTGCAGGAGTAGGAGTGTGTCGGAGGGACACCTCCGCCCCCAGCCCTTCCTGCCTGCTGCTCGGGCCTTGCCCCTCATCTCCAGGCTCCATGTCTGCACAGTGGGGTGGGGGTGACCCTGCTCCCTGGCAGGGCTGGTGTGGGAGTCAAGAGACAGGTGTCTACAATGCGGTCCCCAACCAGGAGCACCAGCAGTACCAGGGAGCTTGTGAAAGAAATGCACGTTATCAGGCTCCACGCCAGGTCTACACATTCAGAAAACGGGGGTCAGGGCCCTATCATCTGAGATTTAACAGGCCTTGTAGGTGATGGTGTCTGCTGAAGTTGGAGAACCACTGCTCTATAATCTGATCTGGAAATACACTGGCCAAGAAAATGTGACCAGCCAGTACTTTTAAGCAACTTTGACCCAGAAACTTGGAAATTAGATTCATATGTTAGAGAGTGATGGGGAAGGTACAAAGATTTGCTCAGTAAAACAACTCATTCTAAAAACAGAAGTTACGTTGAAGGTCTGTGCACCCATCATATCGAGTCTGGAACTTAGCTCGGTGTTCATATGCTGAGGTGGCTTAAAGTACACAGAAAATGAACTTTTCTTCTGACAGTAATAAGTGCTTTGGCGTTTTTAGCATGTCATGTGTTCCTCTTTACAGGAAAATATTCTTCATAACTTATTTTATCTCCCCAAAGACATCTTAAATGCCTCCAGGTCAAGGATCTTGTTTTCCTTCATTTGGATCTTCACTCACATACCATGGAATGCTGTGGAATTAGGAGCTGCAGGTTTACTACCAGATGTTTTATAAGTCAGTTGCATCAAATCTCCCTCTATAACTGGAGCTGAAAATCCATTGATTTGAGCTTCTCAGGAACACCTGAAAATTAAGCAAGTGAATAAGGTGGACGACAATCTGCAGAGAGAGAGAGAGAAAGATGTCTAACTCTGAAGGTGGAAGAGGATTCCTGTTGTTATCCCCTTGCAGGCCTTCCTCTAACCCTTCTGGCAGCCCTGCTCCCTTTCTGCCTCTCTCCCAGGCCCTCCCCTGCTCCCTAGCCTTTCCCAATATCCCCTTCCCCCAGTCATTCATATAGTCTTTCAATCAACAAATGTTTTTTGAGTGCCTTCTACATCCTTGGCACCATGGCGGGAACCACTGACAAGACAGACCAGGTCCCTGGCCTGATGGTACTCAGACCCTGGGGCAGAGTCGGGAGAACCAGGGAGACACACAATAAACAAACAGCAACACATACTGGAATAAGTGCATAGACAAGTGATATGATAAGGTGGCCAGGAAGGAAGGCCTGTTTGAGGAAGTGAATTTTAGGCTAAGAATTGGAAGTTTTACGTTAAGCCCACCAGGTGAAGAGTCAGGGAGGAGTGTTCCAGGGAGAGGAAATGGCAAGTACAAAGGCCCTGAGGCAGGAAAAACCTCATTATATTTGGAGAACTGGAAGAAGATTGGCTGGAGTCTGGTGCACCAAGAGGGGCAGAGAGGAAATGAGATAAGAGATGGAGGCTGGGCTGGGTCATTTAGAATCTGTAGATTGTAGTAGGGAGAGTGGGTTTTGTTCTAAGTGCACTGGGAAGCCTTTGGAAGGTATTAAGCAGATGCCTTGATGACAGTTTGTGCTGCTAGGGAGAGAATGGACCTTGTATGAGGGAGGGAGGTGGGGAAAAACGGAGATCCGTCAGGAGGTATAGCAGTTTTCTGGGTGGTAGGAATAGAGACAGAGGGGCAGACAAATGGGTGACCCAGAAGTTTAGAGGCCTGAGGATTCCAGGACAGGACTCTGGACAGTAGGACAAGGAGAGCAGGGTCCGTGAGTGATGGGGCCCTAGAGTGCAAGGGAAGAAAAGAAACCCAGCACTTCTCATGGTGGGTCATTTCCCTTCCAGGAAGTTTCAGCTTCCTGATTCTGGGGCCCTTGTGAGATGGAACTGGGGAGAAGAAGGTATGGAACACAGTATTGATGAGACCTGCTTGCCCCCTTTTGGGGTCCTCCTCTCAGTCTCTCTCTAGGGGCAGAGCTGGGAATGGAGAGTGCTGCTCCAGCTCAGCAGCACCTCAGCACTAGCAGGGTGGGGAGGGAGTCAGTGGTCCCCCAAGTCCAACCCTAAGACAGGTACCCTACTTCCTCCTCAAGGAGGAAAGCCTCCCGCTAGGTGTGAGCTCTTGGAGGCAGGGCCTCCCCGCCCTCCACCGCCCACCCAGGCCTTTCTGGGTGTAAGTCAGTGAAGTGGAGGACTCTGCTGAATGGGGTGGCTCCCTTATGGCTGAGAGGTGGGGGTGCTGAGAGGTGGGAGCAGAGGACCTTTCTAGCACCAGGGTGAGAGAGTTCTGGATAAAATCCAGCCACATACCCAGAAAGATCCTGCCCAGAGGGGTGGGCAAGAGCAGCCTAGCGCCAAACCCCGGAGTCCCTCATCCCATCCATTGCCTATACACCAGCACCACCCACCCATGCCTGCGGGACAAGCCCACAGGCTGCCGTTTTCTCAACACCTCTGCTGAGGGCTTAACAGGGGTCATCTCACTCGATTTTCATACACTCTCCTGAGGGAGGCATATTATCCCAGTTTTGCAGATCAGCACAGGCCTATGCAGTTCAGGAAATCCAAGCTGTCTGATCCCCAAAGCAGAGCCTCGGTCCCTAAACTGTCTCTTACCGGCAAACTGGGCCTGAAGCAGGTTAGGGATGAAAGATGGGTGAATGGATGAAAAAAATGAATGAATGAAGGGGCCCGTGGATGCTGGGGAAGGGGGACATCAAATCCTGATTGGGTCCAAGCCTTACCCAGGCGTGGCCGCGCTCCGAGGGCCCAGGTTGAAGGTGGAGGGAAGGGGATGGGGGTCAGCCTGGTCGGGGGAAGGGTGTGAGGAACGCAAGCAACATCCCCAGTTGGCCCCCAAGGTAGGCGCCGAGGTCTGGGACCCCTCCCTCCATCCTAGCGCCCACAGGCCCTAGTCCTCAGTAGGCACTCAACAAAGAGTAGGTGAAATTTTGGCTCTCCCACCTTCCTGGCAGTCAGCGGGCGATCAGTAAATGTTGACAAAGGTACGACTCTCCGCCGAAGTCTCCCCACCCACACTGCGGCCCCACCGGGCTCAGTGCCGGAGTTCGGCCCCCGCCACCCCGCGCTCTGCCTAATCTGCCCCTCGCAGGACCCGGCGGCGGAGGGAACGCCCCGGGCGGGGCCAGCTTGGGGCGGGGCCTGAGGGCCCGAGGGGGCGGGGCCGGGCCGGCCGGGGTCTCCGGTCGTCGCCGGCAGAGCTCGGGTTCCGAGCTTCGCGGACCGAGGGGCGGGGGCCGGGGCGCGGATGCTGGAAGTTCACATCCCGTCGGTGGGGCCCGAGGCTGAGGGCCCCAGGCAGAGCCCAGAGAAAAGCCACATGGTGAGCGGGGGCGCTGGATGGGAAGAGGCGCGGGACCCGCCGGATTTCGCCGCGCCGAGCGCAGTGGGGGACCGCGCTCCCGGGCCGGGGCGTCCGAGTGCGGCGGGCCAGGCCGTCGGGGGACAGCCTGCTGAGGGTCTCGGGGCCGCTTGGGTTTCCCAGCCCCGCAGACGGCGGTCCGGGCTCCTGAGGGACTACACGGAGCGGAGGTGCTGGTCCGCCCGCCCTCCTCCCAAGTGTGTGGGGAGCGTGGGAGGGTCCCCGGCGAGTGGCGGCGTCCAAGGCCGCTTTGTGCCTTTGATCGCGGAAGGGTGGGCGCGTCGCCGGGCGCGGGTCCCGCTTGCCCTCCCGCGGGGCCTCACGCGCACCCGGGCTGCCCGCCCGCTAGGTGTTCCGAGTGGAGGTGCTGTGCCGCGGACGCAGACACACGGTGCCGAGGCGCTACAGCGAGTTCCACGCGCTGCACAAGCGGGTGAGGCAGCGCCCACGATCCACCGACCCCGGCCCGGCTCCTGCCAGCCCTTGGGAGGAGGGCAGATGAGCTGCAGCCCCAGCCTCTGCCACCCTCGTTACCGCCGCAGTCCCTGGAGGGCTCAGGTCCTGGGCACAGACCCCCTCGCGGGCTGTGGGGAGGGCGCAAAGGGGCAGGTCTCAGCCTGTACTCTCCATGCCCCTATGCGGCCGGCCCACCCTCGGGTGTCTGGGGCGCTGGCGGGGGCGGAGGCGGGGGATTGGGACCTCTCTCATCCCTGTCCCAACCACCACTCACCAGGGGCTGACCCAGGGTAGAGCCTGGAGTTTAGGGGGCAGGGGGGTGGGGAGGACTGGAGAGGGCTCTTGGCTAGGGTAAAGTGAGCTTGAGGCCTCAGTCGGGATGCTGTGATCGCACGCGGTAACCTCCTGGCAGATCAAGAAACTGTACAAAGTGCCTGACTTCCCCTCAAAACGCCTGCCCAACTGGAGGACCAGAGGATTGGAGCAGCGGCGGCAGGCCTTGGAGGCCTATCTCCAGGTGTGCATGGGTCTCACTCAGTGCCCCTCTGCCCCCCCCAGCAGGCTGGACCAGAGGTGTGACTCAGAGAGGTGTGCCGGCAAGGGGTGAGGGGACCCACATTTGGGGCATGTTATTTATTACCCCAAGTCTCAATTTTCTGAACAGTAATGGGTCCAAACATCCCTCTCTGGATTGATAGGATTGACTGAGGTAACCAGGAGGCAGGTGGTCCCAGTTCAATGAAAGCTGGTTCTCTTCTCCTCCAGAGTGAGATCCTGTGTTCCCCTCATGATGAGGATGTGGAGACCCTTCCCCCTGCTCCCCACACAGCCAGGGGATCACAGGCCAGGCTGGCTTCATGGGCATCCAACCTGTGTAGTCAGCCAGGTCTCAGTGCTTAGAAGGGCTCAGAGCTTGGTTTCACACTCTGCTCTAGCTGTCTTGAAATTCTTAATCATTTTGGAAGGACCCCTGCATTTTCATTTTGCACTGGACTGGGCCTATTACATGGCTAGGTCTGATTACAGATTACCTCTCTCCTCCTCTCCAGGGCATTCTGTACCTGAACCAGGATGTGCCCAAGGAGCTACTGGAGTTCCTGAGTCTTCGGCACTTCCCCACAGACCCCAAGGCCAGCAGCTGGGGGTGAGCACCTCTAGGGGCCAGGGCTTGGCATGAGGGAGGGGCCCCAGTGTTGGGGGACAGGGGCTCTCTGCAAGCAAACAGGTGAGAAAAGGTTTTTGAGGCCAAGGTCTTTTCCTTCTCACATCTGCCAGGCCCTAGCCCAATCTTCCTCTTTGAGACATCACTTCCCTGGTCAGCTTTCTTGACCCCAGTGGAGGGGCTGTTTTCTGCACAGCCTTGGTTACCCCAGCCGCCTCCGGAACTGAGCTGGTTACAAATAGAAGCAGTGGTCCCCCAGGGAGGTGAAGTTCTGGGCTCTGGTGTCTCCACCCCTTCCTCATGCTCCCCCGGGCATCCCCAGGTGGCTCACAGCCTCCCTTTTCTTTTCAGCACCCTGGGGGAGTTCCTGCCTAGTGACAGCAGGCAAGTCCAAGCCCCTGCCTGCACCTGGCTCCTGCTGCCCCCTGGTGGCCATATGCCAGGAGGCGGCCTGCTGCTCCTGGCGGGTCCTCCTGGTCCAGGTTTTCCTGTTGGTGCCTCCTGAGCCCACTTCCCATTCACCTTTTCCTCTGTGGTCCTTGGTGATCTCAGTCCCCCACCACCCCCTCCACTGCTCATGACCCTTGTCCCTCCTAGATCACAGCTGCACCACCGGCCTGTCGTCAGCTTCTGCGTGGATCCCTACATTTCCATCCCATCCCCAGGTGAGGGGGTGCTTCTGACCTATAATCCATATTTAGGGCCCAGGTATCAGGGTGGGAGTGGGGGTGAACTGACCACTTCTCAGCTCCCAAGAACCCCAGGCAGCGTCTCCCTCCTGCTGCCCTCCTTTGGGGCCACCACCCCTGCTGCTCCTGCACCCCTGTAGCCTGCTTTGTATTCTCCTCCAGGGAGTAGACACGGTGAAGCCAGCCTGGCTCCCCTGCTCTCCATTCCTTACCAGCCTGGCTTTCCAAGCTAACGTGAACAGAATGTGAATTGGGAATGCCAAGGCCTCATTTGGGGTGGCCAGCTGTTACCTGCTGCCTCCGCAGGGGCTCCTACTCTCAAGGG